ACAACCTGCTCTAGGTGAACATGCTTTAGCAGGAGGGTTGGACTAGATGGTCTCCAGAGGTCCCTTCCAACCCTTGCCATTCATGATTCTGTGATCCTGTGAATGGGCTTGTGTGTAATCTGTTGGGGGGATCTGGGCGCCCTGGTGTCCCTACATGTGACACCATCCTCCACATCATCCTCCCAACCTGTCCTGACACCACTCCTACCACCAGTCTTGGTGCTGACAGCTCTTTCAGTGGTCTTGTTTGCTGGCCATTTCTGCCAGTGCTCACCTGCTTTCTGAGTTACTCCTGACGTCCAGCGCTAGTTGGTCATCCAGCCCTGTTGCTGCCACTGGAGTTTCCAGCCCTCCGGGGCCCAGGGATCCTGCAGATAGTCAGATCCTTTCTCTCCAGCTACCCCTGGGAGAACAGACCACGTTTTGGGAGTCCCACTTTCAGACCAACGTTGAGCTCCTATCAGAGCACTCCTCAGCTCCTTTCAGCCCATACTTGAGTCAAGGGAATTTTTTTGGACAGTTCTGCTACTGCCCCAGTCACTCAGAGACACTTGGCACATTGGGTCAGTGCCTGATTCCTTCACCTCAGTGTCAGATCACTGTAACTGAGAGCTTTCTCCTCACAGCCGGCTGCTTCTCCCATCCCTTGCATGCGCTGGGCTCCTGGGTACCTCTTTGCTCTTGAGAAAACTTACTGCAGCCCTGGGACGTCTGGGAGGCTACCACATATTTTTCCATTGGATTAAAAGCATGGCATGAATGCTGCAATGAGAAGTAAGTCAAAATGTAACCTAGCTTGCTGCATGGACTTTTGTAGTTGATTCATCTCACCCTCTGTGTTGCAAAACACAGAGGCTGTCGCATCGAGGACATCCTGCGGCATCAAAGGGATCGCTTAACTAGATATCGGGCAGGGTACTGATATCCATCACCACCTCCACAGGTGTGTCCAAAGATCCTGCAGCATCCCATCTCTTCCCTGGGAAGGATCTGGAGGTCTTTTGAAAGGGAACAGTTACACACTTCTCTACAGCTTATGCTGGCCAGATACAAGATGCTAGCTGCCAAATAAGCCCATGAATGCTGCAGATTCTCTTCAGTGATGAAGTCACTGTTTTTTTAGCGGAAATGCAGCCCATGGCTTCAGTCAATACCCCCCCAGCATTGTTTCTGACTTTCTAATTCAGGATTCTCTGGGATATTCAGCTGTCTGCTGAGGACTGTGATACAGAGGTCACTCACCTTTTACCACTGTAAAGAAAGAGGCTGCAGATTTGTCCAAAGACTCCTTAAAGCTATGCTTTCCTAGAGGGGTTTAGGATTCTGGGAAGCAGGCCACCGCTAGACTCTCCTTAGCTCCACATCAGAGACCTGTGATGACCCAGGCACTGGCCATTCAGCAAATCCTCTGAAAAGGACCATTTCAAAAGTAAAGAGCCTCCCAACTAATGTCAGGCATCCAGCCACTCTTCCTCCTCCTAGCAGTTCTGCAGAGGCACAGTTTGGTTTTGCCCAGAACTACTGGGAGATGTGAATGTTCTCTTTTCTAATCCTCTTCTACTCAGCCCTTTTGGGGATCTGTCACCTCAGATAAAAGGGTGCCTCCTCCAAGACCACTCTCTGATACACGGGGCACCCTGGCCCTGGGAAAATATGCTGCTTTTAGGCATCACGAAGGGTCAGAAGCCTGGAGCAACCGCTTCCTCCTGTGAGAAAGGAAGCAGGTTTGGTACCCACCCCACACTTAGAAAAGCTGAGCAATTTCATATGGATCTCAGGCCAGTGCTCTGGTAGAAATCATCACAGCCCTTTGCAGGGGAAGAGTGGTTTGCATCCCTCTACCTCAGAGGTGCCTATTTCAACACATTTCCACATTGCACATCTCACACAAAGCTATGGGCACCATCCCTTCCCCGTTCAGGATTCTGCTGCTTGGCCCCTCTGCAGCCCCTAATCCGACCCCTGGAAACCCCATTGCCTGTCCAGGCACCTGTCGAGTACCAACCTGCCTGGCAGCCTTCGCTCACACTACATCCCCTGCCAGACCTTCCCTTCTGTCTCCCCAGGTGTGGCTGCTTTTTGTTTACAGTTCCTGGCCACAAAGTTATTAGTTATCTCTTATTAGTATGTGACTTCTTTTTCCTTGTTATGTTTGCTTTAGCTCTGGGCAAACAGCAATCAGGAGGTTTTACGTGAGGTCCATTTGGTGAGCACTCTATCTCAGGAACACCCAGACCAGCTTATCTCAAGTTGCACGCCTGATAACCCAGTCTTCAAGTCACAGCGCAATTTCTCAGGTCAGTTAAAGTCTGCAAAGAAATTATAGAGCACCTTAAAAAGTCAGCACGAAGCAGAAGATTTTGACTAGCTTCAGTCTTGCTGCTGCAAGGACCAGAACATGAAAGTGGAATCACTCAGAGAAAAACACGCTATCACAGAAATCTGGAAACGCAATGGAAAATTCCTTCAGCAAGACCAACTCAATGATACTGCAGAATAGTGTTTTCTATTCCTATTTTTCTTGGTAAGTGTAGTTTGCACCCGTAAAACATGCCAAGAGAGACAAGAAAAGCAATGTGTTAAGGTTGTGTGCAAGGTGACTGCTGTGCATAAGTCTGGAACCTGGCTGAAGCTATTTAATGCCTAACACAGACAAAGGAGTATTTAGTGAGCTGGGCTTCCATACCCAGTCCTGGGCTACTCCTGTCATAGCCTGCCCTTCATTTCCCATGGCTGTGCCAGGGTCCCCCACGTTTCTCTCAGCCTCTCTGCTCATTGAGCTCTGGGGGACCCACGCAGGCAGTTCCGAGAAGATGCTCCCGTGCTGATCTTGCTCCGGTCACTGTTATTTCTGTGGCGGGGTCCTGTTCTGGGAGATGACGAAAATGCCATTCAAGGGAGTCAGCATTTAAAATGGGTCGTTAGAGAGAAACGTCACAGGTGTCTTTGCTAAAGATAGCCTGGCGCTGAGTAAAACAGTGCTTCCAAAACCTTCATTTCACAACATGCTCACTCAGCATAATAACCCCTCGGCCTGAAACACACCCCCCAGTGCCAGACAGCTCCCGTCTCTTTCCTGGGATCTCTGTCAGTCCCTCTGGTCTGCCCCTTGGGAAGTGGCAGCAGTATGGGAACACGTTTCTCTGCTTTGCTGGTTCTTACAAGAAAGAAGCATTTCATGGGGCACGGATTCAGTTAAGGGTGGTTTGGGGGATTCAAAGGGAATAGTGTCAGGCCACCGAGGCTAAGAGTGCGGAGATGGATGGGATGGAGGGGGAGAGCAGCGAGCTCGGTGTCCCCCAGGCAAAGCCAGGGGAGGGGGAACGGACAGCGCTGGGCTGCAGAGCCATACATGTCTCCCCACCACGGTTCCATCTCCCTTCTCTCTCTCGTCTGCACCCACACACTCACACCATTCTCACACTGCTGATTCAGGGGAAAGAGAGGTTGATGCTTTCTGCTTGGACTGGGCACCACAAACTGTTTTTCTTGAACAGGAGGAAAAAACACCTCCCTCCAACCGTCACAAGTTCTCCCCCATCTTCTCTCCTCCCTTCCTCTCTCATGAGATCCCACAGGCTGTGTAGCACGGAGGGCACAAAGGACTGCTGCAAAGCAGTCCTCTGGGGACATCGAGGCACACAGGGTTGCACCAGGTTCCCCTACATCGGTTCCACTCTTCAGGAGACTGAAAGCCGTGTGTGATACGCATGAGATGAGAGCTGTCACCACAACAGGGAGATGCTTGAAGCAAGGTGAACCACTTGCTCTCTTTTATCCTCCACCTTCACTACCCAGCTGAGGAAAACTAGAGACCGAACAAGGATCCTTCCACAGAGAAGAAGCGGCCGCTCTGATTCACCTCCCTTTCCTCACCCCCCGGGAAAAGCCCCAGCCCAGCCCTTGGGGGATGAGCCGCCGAGGGGCTTGGGTGTCTGACACCCGTCACAAAGGGCTGATTAAGTCTGAAAGAGTCAGAGCCAGTGGGTTGCTGGAAAGTGTGAGCCACAACAATGGGGGTTCTCTGAGACAAAAGGGGCCCCAGGATGAGGCACACAGATGAAAATGCATTGCCCTATGCAAAGCTCAGCAGCTACATAGGAGCTAGGACAAGCCCCCTCAGCGCATGAGTTTGGGTGGGTTTTTCCCCAGTGCTGCAGGAAGAGGAGGGTCCCCTTCCTCGCACCCCTCGCAGTGCCACAGCACGTAGCCCCTCTTCTCAGTGCTAGTTGCTCCTCCTGGGTGCTCCTCCTCTCTGTATCCTCAGACCCTCCTCAGCTTTATCCCAGATTGCCCCTAGGCTCTGGATTGATGGGTCACATGTTGCCCTGGCTGGAGCTCACCATAGACACTTTCCTCACGCTGCCTGTGAACTGGCCAATGAGAAAGAGCAAAAAAAATCAGCACATGTGAAGGATTAAAGAAGGAAAAAAAAATAAACAAAAACACAATGACAACAACAAAAAAAAAACCAGCAGAGAAAAGAACAACCTGTTATCAAAAGCCTTGAAACAATTAGAGAAAAGCTGTAAGAGGTGGAAAGATCAAACCAAAAAAGGTAAGAGATGAAAGAAAAACATGAAAGGCACTTGCTGGGAAGTGTCTTCTACGCTTTTTCCACTGTCTATGTAGAAGCGAAACTTGTAAGAAAAACAACAGCGACCCAAAGAATTTCCACTAAAAGATGCTTAGAGCAGTGTCTCTGGTCCCTCCCTCCTCTCTCACTGGCTTCAGCTCTGCCTTCACGTGCCCCAGACTTATACTGGTTTCTTGGCCGTGACGCATCTTCTTAGTGATATGAGGAAATTAGCTGCCCACCTGCAATATAAGGGCATCCAGGGAAATGCTTTGATCAGACAGAGAGAGACAGCGCCAGAGCAAGCACGTCCAGCTGGCTCCCCCGTGGCTCAAACACCCACTCCAACATCTTCTTTGCCCATCCCTCATTTTTGCTGATCTCCTGAAGCTTCGGACCCGATCAAGCACAGACCCAAGTGGGAAGACACAGCCTCTTGCCTCTCCTGGATGTCACCATGAGGCTGGCGTCCCTGGCGCTGTTGCTCGCCTTCACTCTGCTGGCTTTCAATGGTAAGAAAGAGGTGCTGAAAGTAATCAGGGAGGGCAGGGTAGCTCAGTAAATTGAGCCTGGGTGTTACTCGGTCACTGACAGGTCTGGAAGGGAGAATTTGTGCCTTTCAAACCCCACTGAAGATGGCCAGATATTGCCCTCTGCTCCACAAGTCCCACCCTTTGCTCAACCCTCCCTCTCATTACAGCTGGCCACATCCTGCTGGGAGTAGCAGAGGGGGGAAGCAGGGAGCAGAAGGTGTGGGCCAGCGCGGGGAGCTCAGCTGTGCTGCCTTGCCACCTGCACCTCAGAAAGACGTCAAAGAGCTGGAAGCAGCTGCCCGACAAGACGTCCGTGCTGTGGAAGCGACATGTGGGAAGGTACACCAGGGCCAGGAGGGATCTGTGTCCTTGTGGGGGGATGGGGGAGGGCGGGAGACACTTTGGGTCCCCTTTCTCCGTCCCCACGTTCCCTCCTTCCTGCCCCCCACCCTTGATCTCACCTTTGCCTCCGGCACGAGCCACTCACTTGTCCCACTCTCAGCCCCCACCAGGAGCCACACATGGTGCTGGAGGTGGAGTACTCCGGCCTCCGGAAGGCAGCACTGCCCATGCGGCCCCGGGTGTCCGTTCAGGACTCTGCCTTACGCAACGGCAACTTCTCCCTGCGCATCGACCCAGTCCGGAGCGAGGACGCCGGGCTGTATGAGGCGCAGGTGGCATACAACACGGGGGTCCACAGCTGCCAGGTGGAGCTGGGGGTGATCACAGGTAGGAGATGATGGACTGTTGATTTTCGGTCCGGGGATGTTGTAGGGGTGGGGCAGGGTGGGGCTGCTGTGTTTGCCGGGGCAGGCTAGAATACAGGCAGCAGCTGCCCAAAAGCACGCAGCTTCCTGCTGTCTGCTCTCAGCTCTGCAGAGAGGGATGGGGATTGGGGGGGGAGGGGAGGGGCACAAAGGGATGATTTGGTAGTCCCCCCATGACCTAACTTCTCCTGCCTCCCCTCCTTTCTTTTTCTCACAGTAACACTCAGTCCACCCAGCCCTGTGGTAGAAAATGAGCCGCTCTTGCTGAGCTGCAACTCTAGCCACCGGGCCAGCCTTGTGGAGACATGCTGGTTCCACAATGGGCACCTGGTCCCCACCTCCAGGACCTTCTGCGCCTTGCATGGGACTCTCTCCATCCTCCGGCCAGCTGTCAGTGATGCAGGCTCCTGGCGCTGCCAGCTCAGATACTCCGATAATGAAATCATTTCTGCCACGTACAACCTGCAAATTCTAGGTGAGCCTAGCCTCTGCATTGCTACTCCAGCATCCCCTAGTTGCTCCCTTTGATGTGACTGATCAGCCCCCATGGCTCCAGCTTCCCTTGTCCTCACTTCCCAGGCCAGCCACCTCACTGCAGAGCTCTTTCCAGCCACTGCCCCACATTGTCCTCTCTCTCTCTGGCTCAGGTTTTGATGGCCCAGCGAACCCTGTGGTCTATGCTGCAGCTGGCTCTTCAGCTGATCTACCCTGCACCCTGAGCAACCTTCCCAGTGCCTTTGGAATCAACGTGGTGACAGCCCACTGGAGCCGCTTTGCAGCAGGACACTTGCAAGCCCAGGGCATCTCCCAGAATTTGAGCAACAGAAGCTTCCCCCTTCATCTCTCTGCGGTGGGGCCAGGTGATGCAGGGCAGTACCGCTGTGCTGTCTCTGTTGGCAGCAAGACAATCAGCAGGGATGTGACCTTGGCAGTGATTACAGGTGAGAGGAGAGACAAGGAGGTGCAACCAGGGTCCCCTGCTGCTTGCAGGTGAACCTCCCTGCACGTCAGCGCAGTGAGCATGGGTTGCACCTGATCATAGGTTCTCACCCTGGGGTGGGGAACAGGGTCTCTGTTCAGGGCATTGCACTGCACTGGACTCTGCTGAAAGCAGGGGGTTTCCTGGGTAACTTGATTATTCTTCTTGACAACAGAGGAAGACAAAGAAAATAAATTAGAGGAGGAGGTAATGAAGGAGGGGTGTATTAGAAGAAGGAGGGATGGAGAAGAGATGTGGACCTGCCTGTAGTCTTTCCTGAGGATATTTTTTTTCCTTTGCTGCAGTCACCCCGAGCATCCAAGGACCGGTTTCTGAGGGGTCTCACTTGCTGCTCATCTGCGGCCTCACACACCCCCGGGGGCATGAACGTTTCCAATGGAAGCACCTCGACTCAGTCCCCACTAGCAGCAAGCTGGCTGTGGCTACCTCCCGTAACCTGGAGGGCCACAGGTCCCAGACAGGCCCTACCTTTGAAATCCCCCGAGTATCACAGAAGGATATGGGCACGTGGGAATGCAGCGTATATGGCCCAGAAGGCAGACTGGGAGCAGTGGAATACGGGCTGCAGATCACAGGTACTGTGCCCCGTGGATCTGTAACCGATTCCTTCCTCTTGCCCTGCTCAATTTCCTAATGCCCTTTCATCTCTCGGCCTCACCTCTTCTTTTTCCCCTTTGATGGCTTGGATCCCATCCTGTCGTCATCCTGTCTTAGCCCTCACCAGTTCCTCCTGTTTGTCCCTGCACCCTTTTCCAGGTTGCCTCTCTCTGTGCAGTCCCAGCCTTGCCCCAGTGCAAAAGCAGCCTTCCCCTCCTTCCTAACTGTGGTTCCTCCTCACAGGTGCCCAGACCTCCGGCCCTCCCAGCATCTTCAGTGGGCAGGTTACTTTCTGGCTCACCCTCACCCTCTTCCTCCTGCTTACAGTCTGTGTTCTGGCTCTGGCCCTGCAAAAAAGGGTAAGTGTCCATCACCCCAGTCCTGTTAGTTTTCCTGTACATCCCTTATATGACCTTTCCCTGGGTACCCTAGGGGCAGCAGTGAAACGCCTCAGGGACACAGCAGCCAGAGGGAGAATGGGGCTCGGGCAGCCTGCTGAGGGTGGCATGGGCATGCAGTGAAAGCCATATCCTGGGCATCGGCAGGCCTGGCTAACTGTGGCGTTTGTCTGGGGGCAGGTCAGACACCTCAGAGGAGGGGTAAAACCTCCTAGGAAGACAATCACAGCCCAGCCTTGTCAAGCCTCTTGTTTATTCTCACAGAGATCAAGCCATGCTGTAATAGAGGAGGGTTAATTTCCAGGCTTTTGTAGGTATCCTCTCTCTTATTCCTTATCTGGATGCTTTGATGTAAGAGAGTCTCCTGTTCCATACAAATGCCTGCTGGTCCCCAGACGCCAATCTCCATGCAGGTCTGTTGTTTCTGGCTCAGCCCTCATGCCTTGGCTGTCTGCTTCTGGCAACTTACTGCCCTTCGTTTGCTCAGCTTGTTCCAGTACCTCGTCTGCTGAAAACTCTGCTTTGCCTTGATCATCCCAAAGGCCAGGGCAGGACTGATCCCTCCCCAGCATGCCACTGGAAAAAACTGTGCAAACAAGTCAGACTGTTTCTCTGCAGTTCTCATGCTGTTTCTCTGCAAATGAATTACATGGCAAATTCTTCCTTCAGGGTTTCTCTTTGCTGACAAGGGACACCTTTTGTGAGTAGCTGTGATGTAGTTACCTTCCGCTCAGCTTCTTGGAAAGGGCCCACAGTGAAAATCCCCTTCAACTGCAGAAACGGCCTGGGGCTCGGGGCGATCTCAGGTTGGGAGGACTTGCACTGGCAAAAGAGCTGGGTGCCTTGAACCTGCCTTGGACTGAAGATGAGGGATGTGACAGCAGTGATGCAAATTCTTAGCGAATCCTGGTGGCCGGAGGCTGAAGACGGGCAACATCAGAACAGAAGCAAGATGGGCATTAAAAAAAAAAACACTGCAGGTAGCGCTAGAGAGACTCATGACTCGTTCTTCATCATCAGTCCTTAATCAGCACTGATGGTAAAGGATAATCTAAGGCAGAGACCTACAGTTTCTGGGTGACCCTCTAGACTGTGCAAGTCCAGGACAAGATGATCAGAACCACCCTTTCTGGCCTAAAACCTTGGACAAATAGCCCTTTGCAGTGTAACTGCAAACCCTCAGCTAGCAGGAGATAGGGTACCTGGATGTCCAGTTCTGCTAGCTTAAACAGCTCTAATCCAGCCAGGGTTAGATTGCCTCAAAGCATTTGTCTGTGCCCTCACAGCCTTGCTTTGCCAAGTGAGCAAAGCTCCTCTGTTGCAGCACAGGTCCTCCATCCCCTGATCGTCCTCCTCCCTCCTGCCCTTCTTTGCACAGCTTCCCTGGTGGGCTCATCCTTTGTGAGAGTGCAGATGTGGTGCCTCGAGCAAAGATATTAGCTCTTCTCTTGTTCTCTCCCTCTCTCTGCTGGCATTCTCTGAGACTGCATTTGCTCTTCTTGCATTGGTTGAACACTGTCTGCGCACCGGTATCCCTTGATGGGCAATTGCCCACACATTAGGAATCCCTGTTCCGATCCCCTGAGCCCATCAACATGTGCTTGGCACTGTTGCATTTCGTTCACCCTGTCATTCAGTTTACTGTTCTATTCTCCTAAAATATCTGGGTCTTGGGTGATATTTTCATCCTCTTTCTTCCAAATGAGGCTCCTCAACTTTATCAGCTACATAGCTCCTTAGCACTTTTGTGCTCTCTGTGCCATTAATGATAGGTCCCACAACAGATCTTTGAAGACTTGTGCTTATCATTTCTCTACAGCCTGGCAGAAACCTGCCAGCAAAATCCCAGTCCCTTCCTCTTAGCTGAGATCACACACCCCCTCATGCCATTCTTCTACTAACCTCATCTTTCCAGTTGTATTGATTGCCTGTGTGCCACCATGTACTGTTATCAGGAGCCCTGAGATCTCTCTCTTTTCTATTGTCTAGAAAGTCACATGTTAGAGCAAGATGTGAAAGTGGTTCTGTCTTTAATTTGTTCTTATCTCATTTTGCATGGACTTTCATGCCTTTAATTAATCTCTGAAAAGGTGTTGTAAAATCAGGCATGCCACGGAACCTGATGATGGCCTGACCATTGCCAAGACCATTCTTTGCTCTCTCTTAAGCGTGTTCTGTCAGTGTTATTCCTTACACCCAGTAAGTGTTGAGCCAGCTTTCCCCAGAAGAAACTATGCATCTCAGAGAGTGGGTCTGGGGCTCTTCCCTGGCTCTAGGAGGGAATGGGAGCCTCATGGTTGCAATCAGTAGGGCCATGTCTTCCGTGGCAGGGAGAAGCCCAGACTTGTGCCTTCCCGTCTCCCTCTCATGCCTGATATTGCCCCTTTCTTCCCTTTCAGGCACGGTCTCCTGCTTTCCCAGCACTGGAAGCAATGGTTGCAGTCACTGTGCCAAAGAAGAAGGAGGTGGAGGAGAACCAGAAAGACAAGATCCAACAAACTGAGTGCTGATGAGAGCAGGGACACCGGGTCCAGTCTGCATGGGAGGATGAAACTCTGTGTGCCATGCTGCAGAGAGATGGGCACCATGCAGACCTCTCAGGAGGATGTACGGATGGCATGAACATAGCAGGAGGCCGTGGGAGCTCTGTACCTGCAGAGGGCCTGGAAGCTGCGTAGCAGGACAAGATAAGACTCGCCGCTGCAGTAAGGTGGCAGGCAGCACAGATGCTTTGGAGCTAGTGGGAGTATTTGAGCCAGAGCCAGTAGCTATTGCCTGCTTCAGTGCCACTTCTCTCTCCCACCCTGTGCCCCTCCTTCACAGCCTCTCTCACAGCCTTTCACTGGTGGGACACCTAAACCCGGGGGACAGCTGGAACCCAGCTCCCCTGCAGCCTGACGGTGTTTTCTGCCCCCTGCCCACTTTCTTCTCCCCGCACTGCCCTGCTCTTGCGCTCATTCAGTGGCAGACGGGACCCCACAGAGGACTGCACATGTTGCACATTTTGAGTGGTTTATTTTATTGGAAACTCATTTTAGAACCTAAAATAAATCTGTCTGACAAAACAATCCACTGGCCCCTGAGTGTGCTTGTGGAGAATCGTGCCTGTCGATGGTGCCGGCTGTACCTCTGCCTGCGTGAAGCGGCTTCTGAGGACTTTGCTGCCTTCCCTTTCTCTTTCAGTTCTGCCTTACTGAAGTTGCCTGTTCATTTCTGACATTTTGACGGGGGTAAAGGGGAAATTAAATGCCACTGGCGAAGAAAGAATCACAGGTTCATTCTGTCCTTTTTGCTGTGCTTCAGAGACTTCCCCCCCCTCCTCC